AGTGCTGGTGCCCACACTGGCATGTGGGACCAGCAGGCGGATGGGGAGAGGCAGTGGCGGTAAGAAGCAGCGAGTGGGGGGACAGGCATTAGCACAGGGCCTGCGTTGGTGCCCAGGGCCAAGGCCGGCGGAGGCCCAGGGTGAGGCAACAGGGATGCAGGCCTGGGGTGGCATGTGGGACTGTAGCAGCCAGCAGGCTAATGGGGAAAGGCAGCAGCAGCGAGAAGCAGTGGGAAGAAGCGGCGGTAACCAGTTACCTATATTTACATTCATTTCTATGGGGAAATGGGTTTCACTTAGCGTGCTTTTGCTTAGCGCTCAGTTTTTCTGGAACCAATTAAGAGCGCTAAGTGTGGGTTGCCAGTAGTAGTACATGTTTTAAATGCTTATCAGTCATTGAGAAATTAGAGGAAAACAGTTAGCCCAATTCAGTATTTTGTAGGAGACTGGCACACGGGAAACATAGGTTTAATTCTGACTCTGGGCTCTGCCACAGAGGTAGTTGGGTCTACTGGGCTGAGCACAGAACTATACTGGTTCTATTCCCAGCTCTGTTCCCAGTGCTGTAGCAAGGGGAGGCAAGTGGGGCGACTGCCCCAGGCAGCTCATTTGGGGGAGGGCCATAGGGACAAGGGAAGGGCAGCTCCTGCTGCTGCATGCGCTCCTGGGCAAGCATGGGGAGGCATGTGCCCCCCAGATTTGTGCCTGGGGCAGGAGCAGGCTGCTGCTGCAGGCTCCAAACTTCACTGCTATGGCACTGTCTGTTCCCAACCTTTAACCGCTTTGAGTACAGTGCCCTGATACCTGCAAATACAATTTACAATATCTTTCTGCTTCATCTCTGCATTTGCAACCAGCCAGTGCAGGCAGCAAAATCTAAGATTAGTTGGGTAAGTTGGAAACTAGTCATGCTTTTGCTACTTTAATGATAAGAACTAACAAATGCATCACTAAGCATTTGCTCTGATGTGCGTAAAGTCACTCGTGTGTTTTTAATAATACAAACACACCCTGGCTATTGGAAAAACCAAGATGAAGAAGAAGAAACTGTGAAATAATAAATAATTGCAGTTGTCAAAGGTCAAGGAGGTGCATGGAATAGATCTTCCCTTCTCCTCTCCCTCCCATTCATTCCCTGTGTTGGCTGTTACCCTGTGAAGAACACATCTTCCTGGTGAGTACGTGGAATGTCTGAAGGAAACGGGTGATGAACCAAAGACAGGAGTGGGAAACCTCATTCTGCTTGACTCTAGATAGCTAGGTGACTGTTGTGATCTAACTTTAGGCATCAGCAGTCCTGTTTTAGGCAAACAGACCTCAGATAATGCTAAGAAACAGATTGGAAATAGGACAGGATGGCAGGCTTACTCTCCTACCTAGTCTTAATAAGAACAATTACACAGGGGGCAGAGGGGGGAAGAAACAGACCTGTAGTTTTAAAATGTCTATATGGGAGGGGCCTTCAGGGATGGCACCCTAACAGCTGGAGAAACAACATGCTAGATTTGAGGTCATGCCTAGAATTGCATAGTTGCTGGTGAGATTCACCTCCATCTATGCCTTCAACTGAGGCTTAGTATTAGTACATTCAATCTTCAGTGCAGCCAATTGATGTATCTGTGTCCAATTAGGGCAATGGACATTTTAAAAATGGTATCCTAATAACTTTCAAAGTAATCCTGAATCAATTCCCCCAATAGCCAGCTCTGCTCTCTGCACACGAGACTAAAGGCAGGCAGGGAGAAGATGATCTAATATGCTATTTATTGATTAATCAATCATAACCAGGAGCCTAATGGGCTTTCCTTATGATTGCTGGTTGTGGGAAGAAGGTTCAGAAGCATTCAGTGAGTCTGAGGGGAATGGTAATGTGCTGGAACGAAGAGGGAGTAGCTGGGGAACGTAACAACTAAGTGGGGCCTTACCTTCACAACTAAGCTGCAACTTCTTGCTATCACTCAAAATGCTTACGCAGAAAAAAAGGCAGGGTGGCACTTTACAGACTAATTCAGAGAGGCAGGAGCTTTCATAGGTAGCAACCTATATCAGATGCTATGAATGGACAGGTGGAAATGGCTAGTCCAATCATAGCATCTGAAGATGTAGGTTGTTGCCTATGCAAGCTCATGACTCTCAGAACTAATTCATCTCTAAGAGCATGTATAGACAAAACAGGGGCACTAAGTTAAAGCAGTGGATTTTAAAAAACACCGCTTCAATTTAGGGATGATTAAACGCCCGTGTCATACACACACCCTGCTGACTTACCTGTCTCTCCAGTGGGGAGGGGAGGGCGAGCTGCCAGCCGGCAGAGCGGTCCCTGGGCTGCAGAGGGAGGGGGAGGGGCTGGTACTTCCCTCCACAGCAGCTGCAGCACCCCCAGGTGGCACCCACCCGCAGGCACCTGTCTCGGGCGGTCCCAGGGGGGCACCGCAGCTGCGGAGGGAAGCACCGGTCCCCATGCAGCTCAGGCAGGCAGGAAGGCTCCAGGGCAGGGAAACAAAAAAAGATCAGGCTCACCGCTTTTCTTGGGTGGAGCTGCTTTCCTGGACTGCTGTCAGGCTGTCTGCAGGGCTTCCTGCAGAGTCGTGGAGCTACACAGAGCCTGGTGCTTCACTCTGCAGCTGTAGGGGCAGGAAACTAAAACTTCTGGAAGGAGTTTTAGTTTGCTGCCCCCAAGTCATTTAAGGCGCACTATGCTGCCGAATTTCCTACAGCGGCTGGAATGCGCAATGCACCGCCGAGGCGTACAAACACCAACACCATTAAAGCAGCGCAAAAACATTTAGCCCGCTTTAAAGTGCCGTGCAAACACCCCTCTCGTTTTGTCTACGCACGGCCCCAGGGTGCAGACAGAAGTGCAGCTCCCAGCTGTAACTCGGAATGATTTTTGCAAAGCGTTCTGAGTTACACCATTGCCCCAGACCAAACAGAAGTTCACTGTTGGTTCCAGGGGAAGACGGGAATCTAGCTGTGGGCTGGGAGCCTGCAACCAGGTTCCCAGAGCAACAGCCACGGCTCTCTGTCAGTGCTGGTTGTTTTCAGAATGGGAGGAGGGAAAGGCAATGGAGGGAGCTTGTTCTTGGGGCTCCCCAGCTGGTACTGAAGGGTAGGGTGGGTGAATTAGAGCCCCCCTACCTTGAGGGGAATCTCTAATACACTCACCCCACCCTCCGGGGAGTGCTGAAAAACTCCCAGACTGCACTCCCTCTGCTCCCTTCCCCCCCTCCCCCATTCTAAAAGGAGCAACATGCTGGGAGCTCCACAGACACAAGTTACAAAAGACACTACATATTGTAAAATCTTTATCTGATACCTCATACAATGCAGGGTCTAGTTTTCACCCAATCAGACATTTTTTAAGCTGTTTGCAGACGTGCACTTGTGTTTGGTCACAGCTATAAGCTGCTTTCTGTGGCCAGATCCGGTGAAAGTTGTCACTTCTGTCTGCACTCTAAGGTGCCACCCTGTCCTACCTTCTGTATGACTTCAGACTAACATGGTCAACCACCTCTCTAAATAGACATGTAATTATTAGAGGATTTACACGACGAAGAACGAACAGAATAAACCAGATGTGATGATTTTAAATACAGTAGAATTATACCTTAGATTTTATTGTGCTTGATCACGTTGCTCTGCTGCCATATAAACATGCTTCCTGGGCTGTAAAGGGGGTGGGGATATACAGCTAATAATGAAATGGCCTAGACCTGAACACAACAGAAGTCTTACTGGCTACTGGCAGCAGCAAGCTCATGTCAATAATGCCTAGCAAACGTAAGTGTCCGACTCTTTCCTTTATGTATAAGTTCCACTCTATAATAGGCAACGAAACATTCCAGATCCTATAACTCATGACAGTTGTTGTCACAAAGCTTGAGTAGCTTTAAGTCCCAAGATTTCATCTTTGTCCTGTATAATGCTACTCACAGCATGCAAGAAACTTCTCACTGGTATGCTCCTTGTCATGGCTACTCTTATTTGAATATAAAACACCGTTTGGTGTGTTCATGCAGCAGCTACAGATAGGACTTCAAACTGTATAGCTGAGTTACCCTTCAACAAGTGGCTCAGGTCCTGCATGGAAAAGTTGCTATAGCAGCACTGAGTTCTGTGGGGGCTGCAAAAGCTGTCCAAATATTTACCCCACTTTCTGGTCTGGGTTTGCAGACCAATATGAGCTCTTTCCTGCTGAAGCCGCTCTTCTTCAGACCTTTGATAAAATGGGTCCTGTATAAGATAAATGTATAATGATCCAGAGCAGTGCCCTCAAGCATGCTGCACTGCTCCAATAGGCTAACTCCTAGACCAGAAGCAATATAGCCGTGTCGGTGTGGTGCCAGGGCAGACTAATTGGCATGGTCACTCAGTAGTGCTAAGTAGTTCTAGTTAATCTAGATGTGGCTGCACAAATTCCAGTTTAGGCATCCACTTACAACAGGAGGATGGCTTGAAGATTATGTTCCTGAGCATAAATTTGCCATGCAGGCCCAACAATGGGTTCAAACAGAGTTTGTAACTACCCTGCACAAAAGCATATCAGCACGCTGCAACATAAGTTGACAGCATTTTGATCCAGCATCATCATGTCGTATTAAGTCACTGATGCACATGTTAGTAATGTGAGGTTATTGCCTCAAAAGTCCAAAGACCTTCGGACCAGGATTATTTTCAAGTCCTAAAGAAGATTACTAGCATTCAAAAAATGTTCTACAGATACAATCCTCACAGGGCCACCCAGAAGAAGGTGACAACAATCTTGAAACTTGGGTGGATGAAGATCAACAGAAAAAAACATCAATCAGCTTTTTTTTTTCTTCTCAGCGCAGGCCAGAATTCAATCCTCTCTTAGGAAGAATGAACTACTAACAAATTTCTCATTGTCTCTAGTTTTCTACAGCACCCCTGCTTCCCTCCCTCCCCCCTGCAGTGACATAAAAGAATACAAGTCACCCATCATGCAAAGAACTCTTGACAGATAGGACTGTTTCACTCACGTTGTAGAGGATGTCGGTCCAGCCTTCCATAGTGATACACTGGAAGACAGTTAACACGGAAAACAGGATATTGTCAAAGTTGGTGATTCCATAGTTGGGGCCTTGCCAGTACTTCCTGCATGTGCTTCCACTCTCACATTGCCTGGCCGGAAGCTCCTCTCCACAGGGAAAATCTCCCACCTCCTCACCTATGCAAAAAGAGGGTGGGGAGAAACAGTTATCAACCAAAGACTTCCAAGCAGGTGGGTGTCGCTGAGTTGTTCCTGTGCTGGCCCAAGGGAACCGAGTGCCTCATTTTGACTTACATGTATAAAGCTTTTATGTCGCTCCACATTTAACTTCAGATTATATCCACCTGAGCCCCCTTCACACTGCCCTGATGGCATGAAGAGGGTTGTAGTCAGCCGTAAATAATAATCAGGTCCTTAGCAACCAAGCTGCAGAGCTTACAACAGTTTTAGTGCAGCATCTGAGGCCACAACTGATCAATCCATTCTGCGGTATTAATAGCCAGCGTTTCATTCAGAATACTGCAGAGCCCACGCTGTGCCCTAATGCCACAGCCTGCAGGGCAATGAGTGGCATAAAATGGAAAGGCCATGGAATCAAAACCCATTGGATCTGAGTCACAGACATGTCATAATAGGAATAAGTGTTAAATATTTATATTAATACTACCATAGTAGGCCTATTGTATCACAGCTATAGGACTGGTTCTTTGCCAATGGCTTATGATAGAACTGTTCTTGGACAGCTTTAATTTCTGCTGTGGCCAGGCATTATACCCCTGTTTGAATAGAGTGTATAATTGAAGCCTGTGACTTCAGATTACAAACCAGAGCCTCCTGACACCACAGTGTGCACGGCTCATTTAAGAGCATGCTCACCTGTGGGTTAAAAGGCAGTGGTGCTCAGGGCCCTCAGCAAGCCTTGCACTGGTCCCCAGTTTAGAGAGCTCACTGCAGCAAAAGGGCAATATTGAACTGCTGCATATGGCATCTGCTGGGGATATATTAAACTGAGCCCTTGAGGAAAGGGATTTAACAGCTGCCCCCAAGGGACATTTCGGAGAGAGAAGAGTATACCGGCACACCTTGATCAATGTTACTTCTCTCATCAAAACAGGGTTTTGTGTCCACAGCTGGCAGCCTCTGACTGCACAGCACAAGTCGACACCATGGCAGCAGCATGCTTTGGCTGAGACACCCCTGAGCACACCCTGTTCACCCACACCCATTCACATGCACCAAACTCAGAAATGCACTAATCAGTCCTCTCCAGGACTTCCCTCTGCAGCCACTCTCATGCCCCAAGTCTCCAGAGTGCCCAAGAACAGCCACTGGGAACAATCCCAGAACATCCCCAGCAGTGAATTTCTGGGTTTAGAGCATGCAAGAGGAAAAGAGTGGGCGGGCCGTGTTAGAGGGACATCTGGGCTGGAACTAGAGTGGCCATCATAAAGGACATTCTGGTTTTCTGCTACTCTGTCCTCTATTGATACGAAACCCAACGCCTTTATGTCCTCTATTTTTCTCTTTAAGAAAAAAATAGAAGACATAAACGTGTCTGGTTTCATATCAATAGAGGACAGAGGACAACCTGATTGCCCTCTCTGATGGCCACCCTAGCTGGAACACATTTTTTCTGCAAGGTAGACATTCCCATAATGGACTATATGTTTTGGGGTAATTAAAGTCTCTGATACATCTTTGTATACTGCCAGGCTCAATATGGCCCCAACCCCTTGGTGCCACCACACACATGCAACAAATAATTAACAACAGCTGACATTAACAATGTCCTCAATTATGACTACAGTACTGACCAACACTTAATTCACTTGTAAAACTATCTTGATAAGAAACACACTAGCTTGCATCCTATGGTCAGTGACCTCCAGTCCCACTGAAGGCAAAACTAAAGGCTTTTACCACTGGTGAAAACCTCAGTGGATGTATCAAAACTCAGGGTGAGTGAAGTCTCATTAAGCTGCATCTCAACAAGATCAGAAATAGCCATTTGTTCTCCTGACTGAGCAAAGAGCAACTAAGCATTTGCCAGATGGATATTCAAACCTCCTCCACTCCAACCAACAACTAAAGTCTCTTTAGGTCCATATTCCTCTTCATTTTCACACTCACTGCAGATATCCTGTTACTACATTGGTGGTTTGTACTGCAATCAGCAGAGATGTTTTGGAAATCCAAGTAAATAAAGGCATTTTACATGTGCTCCAGGGGTGGAGTGGGCCATGCTTTAATTAGAGTGGCTCTGAGAGCTGCTCTAATTAAGGCACTGCCACGTCTCCTGTATCAGCATCCCTGCTCATTGAATGAGCTTGAGTTCTAGAGTCCCCACTGCCATTTTTAAGGATGGGGACACTGATACACAAGACACAGGAGGCTGCTGGAGCACAGCAATTGCCACGCTCCAGCAGACTTGATTAATTAAGTCTTCTCCAATTCGCTGGAATTCCAGCTCGTGTACAGGTGCATTAAGTGCATTGGGCTACATTCTCATTTATACTAAGGCTATGAAGAGACATTATATGTGTCTCAAGAGGATTCATCTTCTCCTAGGACAAACTGATGTTTCATACATGTATTTCCATTGTCCCTGTACAGACCCCAAAAAGGGTTGCAGGATAAAATTCACTAATGTGACAAAACAAAAAGTATCTGAACAGATGTCCCAGGATTACATCACTGGATCAATGGCAGAAAAGCAGCAGTTTATTCAGCCACTCACTAAACCCTGACTGGAAGGTGATGTATGTACATGCCAATCCTGTGACTTTTCTGTTCCAGGACAAACACAGGCCCAACTGGTGAAGGGACAAATGTCTGTTCATACCCTAAGATCCCTTTACACCACTGTGCCAGTGCAAAGGGATCTTACAGTGATACACTGTAATGAGGCTTTCGTGTAAATGAGACAAGCCTTCCAAATTTGCCAAGGCGAAAAAAAATCAGTGCTAATAATAATGGGTAATAATTACGGCTGTGTGAAGCTTCAAGTGGTGATTCAATTCAGAGGAGATTTAGCCCAATACAGTGGCTGAATCTCCGAATCCGAATCAAATCAGGGGACCAATTAAAAGGTCCAAATAGATTCAAAGCTCTCCGAATCTTCAGAAAAGATTCAGAGAGCTTTGATGATTCGGGCAGTCCCCAGTGGCTGCAGCAAGGAGCTGCAGCTGGACTCAGAGCTGGTAAGTACTAGGGGCGGGGGAGGGGAGGCTGGGGGAGGGGACCATGGGGCGACCCATGCCCTCCAAGGTGTGCACAGCTGCGCACGATTTAAAATCTTGCCGTGCACTAACTTTTTAATGCCGCGCACCCGTCCGGAGAGGAGCTGGGCGTGGAGTGCAGCCCTTTAAGAAACAAAACAAAAAAATGGAGAAAAGCCCCGGGATTGACCACTCCTGCAGCGGCCTCGGGACTTTGGGGGGCTCACGTAGAGCCCCCGAGATGGTGCGGGGCAGTGGGGGGTAGCGGGGATCACTTCCCACTGGCAGGAACAGTGAGTGCGGGGTTTTCTTGGTGGAGGGGTCTTAAAGGGCTGGAGCTGGCCCCGGCAGGGCACCCGTGTGGGGGCTGGGGGAGCAAGGGGGGATGCTGGGGGGCTCATGCAGATCCCCCAATGCAGCATGGGGCAGCGGGGATCCCCCTGCCCAGCAGCACCCAGTGAGTCAGGGCTTTTTTTCCCCAAAGAGCCAGGAGCTGGGGAGGGCAGGGCAGCCATTGTCGGGCTGGGGGGGATGGGCCTGGCCGATTCAGAGATTCAGATTCGGCAGCAGCCAAATCTCTAAATCAGATTCAGCCAAATCAATTCGGGACAGTGATTTGAATCATCGAATCGAATCGCTGTCCCCCGAGTCAGCCGAATCCAAAGCAAATACTAGACACTTCGCACAGGCCTAGTAATAATAATGCCTAGAAAGAATCATGCAGGGAAAAACAAGACTGTCAGCCTGGCTCTGTGATACTGTGCAATAATGTCTGTGTAGCCAGTCGTTTCCCAACCCCTTAGCATACACCATATTTCTTAGGTTCCTGTATAGGTTGCTATGGCTTCCGTGACTCAGTGAGTCAAGCCCACAAAAATAACACAAAAAAGTCCCTGAGGTCTATACTCCAGGGGTACTTTCAAAGAGTGTGCTTTCTGAGGTCTGGCCATTTGTTACCAGATAATCCATTCCAAATGCAATACATATCTATTACTAAATGTATTTATTAGCATGTAACCAGGAAACATGAGAAACAAATAGTGTCTTTAAGTGCCTGCAGAAAAATAAGGTCAGGTGAAGGAACTGATATTAGCTACTCCACTTGCTGTTTGTTTAATGATGCAAACTGAGGTGATAAAATCATGATTATTACTTGTATTTGAGTAGTACATAGAAGTCCCATTGCAGATCAGGGGCTCTCTGCATGGCTCTCTGTGCTAGGTGCTTTACAAGCATAATGGGAGCTGCTACGTGACTCAAGCTAGGTACTATTTCTGTTAATGTTAGTCTGGCCATACCACAAATGCTTCTTTCAAGATGCAGGTAAACCAAAAAAAGGTTTGTGGCACATGCAGACTACTTGTTCACAAACTTCCTGGTAACTTGAACTGACAGGCAATCAGTCTACACAAATCCGAAGCGAGACCCCTCAGGCTGGGAACAGATGCCCCCAGTTGCTGCACCCCCTCTGCATTTGCAGGTGAGCCTGGGAAATCCTTCTGCAGGGGATTTCCCTGTTTGGCCCTGCAAGCAGGGGGGTGGAACCGATGTGGGAGTTTGAGGGACTCAGTTCTGACTGAGCTTTTCCCTGCCCAGTCAGACCCACTCCCTGCAATTGCAGAAGATGGGTCTGCGTGAATGGGGAACCCCGACTTCCCCACTTATGGAGGAAAGGCATCCCACAATTCCCAAGGGTGCCTTTCTATAAGCAGGGAAAGAGGGCAGGTTCTGGGGTCTTGAGTGGCCCCAGAGTACGTGCTCAGGATGGAGGGAGAGTGCAAGTAACTCAAGCTACTTGTACTGTTTGGCCACAATTATAACAGACAATGGCCACAACAAAGCAGCAGAATCTATTACCATCTTTTGTTGTGCCGCTGACTTTCCTTTGATGTGGTATGACAAAGGGTAGCTATGTCTATTTGCTCACCATTTGTGCCACCATAAATGGTTTATGGAGACACAAATGAGACATCAGGCAATGTCTGCTTCCACCTTCAGTGATGCAAATCCCAATACAGAATAACTCACTGGTGTTATCCTGGATTTTTTTATTCTGGTGGAATAGAGAGAAAAACTGGCTCAAAATCTCCAGTGCATATTTTTAAAGGAGAGATGTTGCTGCAAGAAAAATAAAGAAATGGCTGCAGTGACTTCCTTTCTCAAGATGGTTTCATTGCACCTGTGCTTAGTAAGTGGGGAAGGGAGGATGAGATGTGTGCAAATGGCTGTGCATAAAAATAATTTTCAGTGTCAGCAAAACATAAAAGCACTGAGGACAGGAGGAGGGGAAAGTAAATCTTATATTCACTGAAAAGTGCACACCAAGGCATAGATTTGTCTCATATTTTTGCCTTCTTTTTCCATCAAAACAAAAAGCAGCTTCTGCAAGTGCAGAAGAGCCTACAGTGCCAAATTTAGAAGTCCCTTCGCAAACTTCCACCATATATTTGGGAAGGTGAAGGAGAAGAGAAAAAACAAACCCCTGCATCCTCGTTATTGCTTTTAATGATTGCTCTCCTCTCTACAGCCAGATTATTAATACTGTGGCAACTTTAGCCAGGACACTTCCATTCAGATCCCACCAGCCTCACCTGGAACACCTTCTGAATCACTGCTATTCAACTCTTGGCTTCTATAAGAATCCCAAAACATAGCAGCATTTTGGAGATTCAAAACAAAGCCAATCCTGTATCTCCTTCCTTGCTCAGGAACCACAACCCTGCTGTTGTTTGCAGGGAAGTATCTATCTCCTTGAAGGGGTTCATATTTCTACAGTGAAGTCAATGCATTGAACAAATGGACTTGGACTTGTTAATGCACCTCTTTTGAGATTATGGGTACTTAGGTTTAAAAGGCTAGGTTGATTAGATTAGCAGGATGCATTGCTTTCCCTCACACAAGGGATTCCAGATCCAGGAAACCTCGCCCACTGCCTTTTCAGAAATACCATGACTCTGTTTCTTAGTGGAGGGAGAGAGTGGAGGAGGGAGGAGAGGAAACTGGGTGGAAGCAATTTCTATAATTTATCAGAAAATGAATGCATTAACTGCTGAGCAGAAAGCTGGGTGGCTCCCTTTAACAGAGACATCTTCCTATGCCAGTAAGTATGAAGCTTTACAGAGATTATGAGCAACACCCTGGTGCTGTCCTTGCTTCCCTCCAGCAAAATATATGAAAAAACTGTGCTGCTTACCCTACAGATCAGTCAGTCATATCACCATCAACTTGGCATATATTAAGATTCCACCAAACACCCCAGGAGGGCTCCAAAGAGCCTCAGTCATGGCCCATGACCCCATCATGCTAGAAACACAGAACAGAGTTTCACAGAGTTCAAACAGCCCTCTCCCTTCCTACAAATCCCCTGTTGAAATCCATTTCTTCCAGGAATCCTTTTGCTCTCCTCATATCTCCACACACTGTCTTAGCTCAACCATTGTGCCATTTCTTATTTATCATACACACTAATCCCTGAGATAAGAAAACTCTCTCACACCACGTTTGCAAAGCCCTGTATAAACTTAATGTGTTATATTATTGTAGTGTGTTTTTTAGAAGACAGTACAAAGGATACCCCAGAGAATTGATGTGGTTGGACTTTTAATACTATTTGCATAAGTGACTGTTAATAATAATCCCTGAAAACACAACAGTTGCAATAGACTGTGTTCTGTGTCAGATTTCAAACTCTGCCATGAGAAGCACTATTCCTAACTCTGTGTTTCTACAGCACCCACTACAGCATGCTTCTACTTTAAATAGAAATATTACAAACAAGAATCAAGTGGAAAGAACTGCCTACTCTTTTTAATGAAAACGATAGAGAAAAAGCAGCTGTTTTGAAATCACATCTTGTCTTTAGTTAAGAATCTTTAGGCATTGATATCCTCCATATCTATTTTCTGGGGTTGTAACTCATCTGCAGGCAGACACATGTCAGTTATACTGCAGTATACAATTTCCAATTTCCTGGTTGCGACATTTCTTGTGGCAACTGCCAGGTTTTATCCTTATCTGTTATCAGGTCTTTTATTAACACACTGCTAGAGCTCTCCCTCTAAACACACCTGCTGTGTTGCTGAGCATACTGTATGTAATAGCAGAGCTACCCTGGGGAATTATGGAAGCAGTGCAGCAGCAGGGAGGGTCGGCATGCACATATATTTCTTGGTGTTGGCTGTGAGCATTCCTCCTAGTACGGCGCACACAGCACTGCATACGTTCTACATACTACAAACGCTGATACAGCACCCAACGGGCACTGTCACGTTGCTTTAGAAGAAATTATGCTGTTCAAGACTGCACTTAGGCAATCCTTGCCATATTCCACCAGCCTTTGTTATACTTTTCCCAAACTGCATGCAATTCCATCTGGCTTTCTTTTGCTAGGCCTCTCCTTTCCCTTTACACATATGATGTGATGGGGCATCTCCTTTCTCTAGCTTACCATATCCCACCCCTCAATTATGGACTGTTTATTCTCTAGTCCCTCTCTTTACTCTTCCTCAGACAGGTGGCTGTTATAAAACATCTCTCTGGACCTTCTTCCTCTGTGACTTTGATTTCTCCCTGTCCTTCTCCCTGTTCCTGGTGATTTCAATCAGCACATCAAAATCATTCACACCTAGCTTCTTTCCCATTCTTCCTTTTCACTATCTCTGGACGGTCTTTCCTACCCACCTCCATGGCCATCCTCTTGGCCTCCTTTTCTTGAAGCACCATCCCTGCTCTGATCTCTCCATTTATAAGATCTTTCACTCCTGACTCCTGTTCTCTCCTTCCCCTCCCATAATATTTAAACTTGCAGAAACATAACAACCAGGGTATGTGCCCTGGGCAACAGCAGTGGCAGGGGTGGAGGCAGGGGCCAGGCCAGCTGTGGCAGTAGCAGTAGCTGAGTTGACAGCAGCAACAGCTGCCATTCAGATGCCCTGAGTGGATGCCCAGAGTCAGTGCTGTGATTACCAGCACCACATTACAATACGGTATAGTCCTCTCTGTTATCCCAGTGGCTTGCCCCAGCAGCGTTACAGGAATTTCACAAGGAAACAGCTGCTCATCAAAATTCAAGCCTCCTTGTGTGGTGGCCCAGTAGGGGGCGCTCCTACACTGAGCCACAAACCTCACTGTGCCCAACCACCTACCAAGCTCCAAGTACCTCCCTGGGGTGCATCACATCTGGGGTGCATCACATCTGGCTGACCCCCTTCCTGGAGCACACCCACAAGCCTGCGATCACCGCTGCCACCAATCAGGGGTATGGTCGGTCTTCAGCCCTGTGCTTTCTGGGGTACACAGGCCTTGTAGACCTTGAGGGTGCTTGACCCACTATGAAAACTTGGAGTGTTTCCTTTAGTCTGAAGCACAAAAAGTAACCTCCCTTAGTCAGCCGGACCAGGGGACATGTGAGCACGCCTCTCTCCCGCTCCCAGCCAGTTCACCACTCTTGGTACAATGGAGAACTTTATTGATTACAGAGAGTAGGCTTGGGGAAGGGTACAGGATAGCGATGTATCGCAGAATAACCTTAGGGCAAGCAGTGTGGCTAGGTAGCCTTTGAACACACATCTACTTTACAGCAAGCTGTATCTCTAGATAAGTTTTAGGTAAGTTCCTCACAAGTATCATTCAGAGGCTGATTGAGCTTTCCTCTGGAGGCTGGCAGTTCATGGTGTGTCCATGAGTTTCAAGAGAAATCCCCACCTCTCTGCCTGGTCAGTTACTCACATGTTCCCCAATATGCCTCTCCTCCTTCGAGGAAGAAGGGGCTCTTAAATAAACTTTTCTGACCATACCTTCCAGGTCCAATCAAGGCAGGTGTTGTTTAAGGCTAACCAACCAATTTAAAAAGCATCACTGGTCAACTCGGAGATTGACATCTCTTGAGCCACTACCCCTCCGCCATGAGGTCACTGCTTAGCACAACAGAGAGCTCTCCCCTCCCCATCAGTCACATAGGCACAGCTGGTTGCTTAGCAACCAGAGTGATAGACACCTGAGATTTAGGGAGGGGGACAAAGGCTAGCCCCAGAGCGAGGAGGAGGCTAGAACAGGATTTCATCACACCTTGAAACAAAATAGTTATTGCACCTAGTAGCCAAGAAGTGGAGTCAACATTTATGATATAAAACTGATGTACACGAGAACTGAGGACCTGAGCCTCGTTACATCACACTTGTGCAACTTGGAAGCAAATCCGTCCAAGTCAACAAAGTTAGAGTAGAGGCATAAGCAAGATGAGAATCCAGTGCCCAGTACGTATGTATGTACACGTGCATATGAGATTACTAGATCAAACATCGCTGATCAAGAGAACCTAATCTCACCTGTCTCATTGGAGAAGCACGTTTTATGAAACTTCCCCATGTAGAACTCCAGTCCGATAATGGCAAACATCACAATAGCAAAGAATAGAAGCAGCCCAATCTGAAGCAAGGGCACCATAGCCTTCATGATGGACTTGAGGACAACCTGTAAACCTGTTGAAAAGAGAAAACTGTTGTAGGCATGACTGGGAACCAACCAATGGACATTTTGGAAGGTAGCAGAGTCTGGGTTTTAAAAAAAATGTTCAGGACTGATAAAAGTCCTACAATGCCTCTTTCTTCCAAGTCAGTGATTCTGAACTCCTTCAGACCCAGCAGAGATTAAAAATCTGATCTGGATTCCACTGACTTCAACAGGAGCAAAATCAATCCTAAAGATTTTTCAGTAGTATATATGAAGTGTGTTGATGGTGCCAAGCCAATCACCAGAGAATGTGTGCAAATACAAAAAGGTATCTCCTACAAGCACAACTAATTTGTGACTCATTTCCCAGAAAGGCCAAGAATGGAATGCTTCACAGACAGAAAGCTAATCCTCTGACTTTATTGCAGGGCAAGAGTTTGACCCATTGGTGAACTGACATACAAAAGGGCAGCAGTGCCATTATCCATGCTGTACCCAACTTGTGGGTAAACAGCAAACACCCATCTCCAGGGCTGTCAATCTAAGTCTTTTCACCAGCACTAAAATTCAGTTTCAATTAAAATATGTGAGATAAGAGAAGCTCAAGGGGTAGAGGTCTCAGATAAATTTATGCAGGCATGCATAACAAAAACAATGTAGTGATAACCAAGTGCTTAAAGCTATCTTGGCTATGGGGCCCATGCTAGGAATAAAAGAATGTCATTGTGCCACTCCCTTGTAAAATGTAACTGAGGTCAAAACAGATGAGCACTGGAGAACTTTTATCTATTTTGAAAATAAGAGAGATAGGTGGAGAGAATATTAGAAAAGCGTGCAGCACATTTGTAAATGACTAAGTCATTCATATTGAGGGTGGAGGGCATAATCATAAAGCTCTTAGATTCCATAGCAGCATTTAAAATGTCTAGCAGAACTATGCTATGCTTTTAATCTACAGCGCCACCCTATTATACAGTTAGGATGCTGACCAAAGTTTGATTCTAGCAGAAAGGATACGCTCTCTGGTTTGAAGATGTTCACAAACATTTGTTTAAATATAGCTTGCCAAAAGGCACAAATACACATGGAGGGAAATCTGACAGTCTCTTTATACCAGAAATATCATCACAGTGGGAAATTCCACCTCCCCCACATAATCAGTCTTGAAAAGTGAGTGACACCTTACAATGTTAAATGGAATATGTTGGATTTTGGTTACAGCATGATGAAATTCACCCTGTGCAAAGGGCAACTTGTAAGGTTTATGTGCCACTTTATTCCCATTAAAGCTTATATTGGACTCACATGGCGCACACCCTTGTGCTGAGTTCTCTACATGGAGATGTCTAATTTGTAGAGGAGGGTGAATTCTCCTGTAGGAAGTATGCATATTTGTGACCTTGCCTTCCTTAGGGTCATTGGGTGTCATGGTTATTTTACTTATTTTTATTTTTTGTGGGTGTTCATGAAAGTTTCATGCTAGTGAAAGTTTCCAGATTCAGATTCCTGAAGAGTGGACTCTACTGTTTATTAGGGCTGTGCAAAGCTTTGGTCACTGATTCAATTCAGAGGAGATTAAGTCTGATTCGGCGGCTGAATCTCCGAATCTGAATTGAATCAGGAGACCCATGAATCTCTCCGAATTAAATTGGAAGCCTGCAATTCGATTTGGAGAGTTTCATCAATTCAACCATAGACACAGCTTTATATGTATTTTTCTATGTACGTCAAGGTACCAGGCGCAGCTTGTGAATGCTGAGATGCTGGGGCGGATGGAGTGTCCCACGGGAGCACAGGGGGTCCCCACCGCACTTGGTGGCAGACCCGGAAGTGGACCAGAAGCACTTACGGTCCGCTTCCGGGTCCACTGCAGAGCATTTTGCCACTGACCTACTAGGTGACCTTTGGCAATTCACTTAAGCTTTAAATTTTCCCTCTCATGCCTTCTCTGTCTTGTTTGTTTAAATTGTGTTTTGCAGACAGGAACACTGTCAGTACTTAACAGAGCATTCCCTTAGGACTTATTAATTACAAATACATGTTTATAAATAAATGCCATCCTTTCCCAAGCCCAGCTCTGAGCTAACTTCTGAATGGGAAATGCAGACATAATCCCTGCTTCCTTAAAGGATGCAGCTATCTTGAATATTCAGAGGTGAAAAAACTAATCATCAGATCTATAAAATCCCTTGGATTCTGGAGTTCAAGCAGCCATAAATTACACAGCTGAGACTCCAGCCAGCTGCCTGAGAATAGAAGGGGCTGCACTGCTAATAATGAGGTAATCCAAGTGAACAGCTAAACTTCATAGAAGAGCATCCCATTTAAAAAGGAAACATGCTTTCTTCTCACTGTTTCATGTTGGACTGAAACTGCTTTCGTTCTACATTTAGACATTTAATCTGCCATTCTGGAGATCTTTTGCTAACCAACAAATAAAGAAAGATTGCTATTTGGTCTCCTGCAAAGTACTGCTGTGCAACCCAATACCAGAACATCTGGGTACTTCAGACTAACACACATGAAATACGGAGTTGCTCATGAAGAAAGGTTGATTATGCACGCTCTGTCTTTTGATTGTGCCTTCCCTGGGCTTTGCTTTAACCTGCTTTTTACTTGCAAGCCTAAACAATGAGACAAACTAGATTTTTAACTTATGTAAATCATCATAGCTCCCTCTGGATCATCATAGATCCCTAAGGATCTCCCTTGGTAAGTCTAGCCCTAAGGAGCCTATAGGTTAACAAACTTGGCATCCAGAAAATCATTGCTCCTTTATGAACGGGTTAAGTTCCAAGGCAAAGAATTCCAGGGGATAACTTCCTACCACCACACATATGAAGACCCACTCCAAACTGGTAGCACTTGGCACTCTCTTTGGCTCTAACTGGGTGTGTCTAGATGAGGTGCTAAATGTGCAGTAGCCTAATAATACTGCACAGTGGCACATCACAGCAGAAACAGATAATAGATTACTGCTAATAGATTACTGCACAGTATTATTAGGCTACTGCGCAGCAGCTTCACTAAAAAGGTGTGTGCCGGTGCTACTGCACAGTAATACCAGTTACTGTCCATTGATTTAGTACACGATTATACAAGTGCTAAACAATGCACAGTAACTACGGAGCATTACTGAATGTGTAGATGTGCTCACTGACAACAAGACATGAGTCGATAGAGAATGAAGCCCCAAAGATGCAAAGCAAGTGCATCCCAGTGACAAGAAGCAGGGGGATGAATACATCGTTCAACAGTGATAGCACCAAATATGCAGTGCCGCAAAAGCCATGGAGCCAATGTGACAATGAAGATAACGTTGCAGTGACACATGTTACACTCACTTGGGATTCCTGACACAAGCTTCAGTGGTCTTAATACTCGGACAGCTCGCAGGGTCCGTAGGTCAAAATCAGTCCCAGCAGTGGCTAGAATTCTGTTTAAAATAAGTGGGGGGGGAGCAGGGAGATGAAGGGGAGAAAGAGAGACAGAAAGAGAGACTGAGTTACAATATGAATAAATGAACAGTTATTACAAATTCAGACTGGTCTCACACTCTATAATTGCCATGACATTGCATATGGTGTTCACTGAACACTTTTACAAAGAACACACACTGCATCAGAGTCACAGACCCCAACTACTCAAACTAAAGGGGAATCTCCACTATCTGTTTGATATATGGAGCCTATGACACAGAGAAGAGCAATCCTGTTTCCATGCAGTCGAGAACAGTATGCTCCAAACAGATGCAGAACCATATGTCATTTCCTAGTGAGGTGAAGGTGAAAGGAAGACATACCCCTCTTATCCCTGGGAATTATCTCCTAATAAAGCAAGAGCATGCACTAGTGAAACACTTGTTTAGGTACACAGCAATGATGAGGAGTAAGGTTTCTGCTATGAATACATGTAAATCTAAGTTCAGACCAAAACATCTTACTTTAGAGCAAGGAAAACAATACATCTCTTTCAGAGAGAATGACTGTGAGCCTTTTCTCAGTAACAACCTGCAATAACTGCAAGAAGAAAATGGCTTCCATCTGTGGAGGTAGGCACAATTCTTAGATAGTAAAAGGTCTCATACACAGAAAAGTCTTCATCATTTCTGACTACCCATAGTTCAGGAAAAGAAAAAAAATATGCCACTGGTTCTAAAAAGCATCCTGAATATAACCTTCCCTGAGCAAGGATCCCCTCTGCCATCAAACTTAGAAACACAATATCCCTACACAGACCCCCTGTAAGCTTTTATCCATTAAGCAACAATAATTACTGCAGCTCTTCCTTTGATGCTTCAAAGTAAGACCTCGGAAAGTTCCCCTTTAACACAAATTAACCAAGTCAACCAGTCACAAAGTGAAAGCCCCTCGCTGGCTCCCTATCGATCACTCAATTTAGAGTCAACAATCTCCATTAATTTTTTATGGGTTTGTTCTGAGACCAATTTAACAGGAGAAAATGGAAGGTGCTGAAGAACCAGGCTTGTCAATGAAGTCCGCAAGAACTGATGTTGCTGATGTGCCTGTCCTGGGGCAGTTGATTGTCTGTATTAATTCTTTCCTCTCCTTAGCCTGGTTTTGTAGGTGCTAATTGATGCTCGTTAAGTCGTTAGGTAGTAGCTAGGTCCTGTGTACTAAGCTGGTCCCGAGTGAATCATGATTGATTGATTGGTAACTGGGAACACAGCAGCTCAGCAGCCAGGCCTGCAGCAGTTCCCCCCCCCGCCCCACGCCAGACACAGTCAGTCCCACAGCACCCATGGCAGGAGTTTTGCTTGTCCGCAGCTTGCAGGGCAGTTTCCCCCAAACCCCTACACCGATCTTCTTGAAACTTGGCAAGCTTTGTGGCCTCAGTATGAGCTACCACCCCTGAAGTTTTGACCCCCCTGTGCTGTAACACATAGAAGTGACAGAAGTTTTGCTTTCAATAATTTGGGTTGCTGTTCCCCACCAAAACCCCTGCACCAATCTTCTTGAAACTTGGCAGGCTTTGTCCTCTCTGCAGAGTCCACCACCTCTGAAATTTCATCCAAATCGGACAAAAACCAACAAAGTTATAGATATTGTATTGTTTCCCCATTATACCCTATGGCCGGATCTCCAAGGCGGCTCCGAAGCTCTTTGGGAAGCCAAGCGACGCAGCGCTTCGACCCGGACGTGCTGCTTTGACCCCAAAGCATCCGAAGCTTCTCCGGATCTGAAGCTCTGTCCGAAGCCTCGCACAGCCCTACTGGTAAATACTAGGAGCAGGGGAAAGGGGACCATGGGGGGACCCCTGCCAGCCTCCAACCCCCTCCCCCACTCTCTCACCCACCCCAGCTCGGTACTTTTAAAAAAAGCCCTGGTGCTCACTGGGTGCTGCTAGGTGAGGGGGCGATCCCCACTGTGCCACGCTGCATGGGGGACTCTGCGTAAGCCCCCTCGCCCCTGCCCACTCGGCCCCCTGACGGCTGCCCCGCCTGCAAGGGCTCTAGCCCTTTAAGAAAAAAGCCGAGAAAAGCCCCAGACTCATCACTCCTGGTGCAGCCTTGGGGCTTTGGGGGCTCATGCAGAGCCCCCCATGTGGCGCAGGGCAGCGGAGATGACCCCCCACCAGCAGGAGCAGTGAGCCCCAGGGTTTTTTCAGGGTTTTATTTTTCTTAAAGGGCTGGAGCTGGCCCATGTGGGGCATCCATTGGGAGGCTGGGCGGGGGGTGGTCGAGGGCTCATGCAGATCCCCCCATGCAGTGTGGGGCAGTGGGGATCGCCCCCTGCCCAGCAGCACCTGCTGAGCTAGGGCTTTTTTCCCCCCAAGTGCTGGGAGCTGGGATGGGCGAGGCAACCATTGCTGGGAGAGGGGCAGGGGATTGGCCCGGCCTGGCTGATTCAGTTGAATCGAATCAGGACAGTGATTCGAATCACCAAATCGAATCACTGTCCTCTGAATCAGCCGAATCCGAAGCAAATACTAGCCGCTTCGCACAGGCCTACTGCCCATGCCACTTGTGGCACCCATGCTGCAGGTTAGCCACCCCTGCTATAAAAGATCCCATGGTAACAACAGCAAAGGACATCAAAGGACTTAGGCTCTGTCTGATCTAGAAACAGTTTTAGGTATATCCTAGTGCACATGCAGCTAAGGACACTTATGACTGCATCTAAACTAGGGCTTTTGCCAGCAAAGCTATATTGATAAGTCACACCCCTGCCTAAAACAGCTTTGCGTGCAAAGTGCAGAACAAGGGTATAGGTTGTGGCCTTGCTGGTCTAAGGACATACCCAAAGACCCTTGTCTGCCTAAATCGGATATCTTCTATTCGACCAACTCAAATGTTGGAAAAATTCTTCTTTGCAAGCTTTTGGATATAAATACCCTTTGTCAGGCTGAGCAAGCATCTGCACAGACCAACTGCCAGTGCTTCCTCAGCCTGACAAAGGATGGATATTTATACCCGAAAGCTTGCAAAGAAGAATTTTTCCAACTATTTGAGTTGGTCTAATAAAAGTGTAGAAAAAGGAAGAGCTACCGTATGTTAGCATAGATGTGTAGGGAGCCCTGGATGCAAATATCAGGAGGGGCTAAATATGAGGGGCTAAAATGTGAGCATATATGTAAGCTTCAAAGCTGAAAAATAGTCCAGAAGAGATGTAGCAGTGGCTGAATGAAGAAAGCTAGGCTAGGAAATAGAGCATTTATCTATACTAAACCTGGCTCTGCTCAGTATTATTAGCCCTACATTTTCATCAGTAACAGATTCATGTAGCAATCAAAAAAGAATAAGAAAAGTATGTATTACTGTAGCTGGCAAATAAGCTACTGAAGAGAATTTAAACTAAGAACTTCAGAGGCATCTAATTTAAAACTTCTATGCTTATGCCAACATTTTTTCTCTCTCTCCCCCACAAGCCCCTACCACAATTTAATTGCTCATTTATAAAACCTTTGCAGCTTGGGAGCAGCACGCACTTCAAACTGAAACTTAATCTTAAATGTTCACCTCGGATGTTCCTGATGAAGGTAGGATTGGTCTCTAGTGGCTTTGAGATAGATTTGTGTTGTCAGTAACCCGGCCCTTTGCTATGTGGAACAGGCTGAGAGGAGGAGCCCTTGTACTCCCATAGTTCTGCCTCCAAACTTGTTGAAGAAAACACAGGAGCGAATGCAAGAAAGACAATTAGTCCCATGGTACTGATAAGTGCCCTGGTGGCAGTGTTGACTGTCTTGCCGCTCAGAGGCAGCTCTTCATTCCAGTTCTTAAGAGGTTTGAAGTTAACAAAAAACAAAACCAAACCCTGATTTATGGTATCCCTCTCTCTCTGAGCCACTCTAGTCAAGGATCCCGGTGATTCATCTCCCCCATGTTGTTAATGCCATTTGTCCTTCCTTAGTGTAGGATAATACAATTTCTGGAAGGCACTTTTCATGGTATTCTGGGATAATGCTCTAGACAATTTGGTCAACCTGAAACACATGGATTTCAATTCGACAGTAAGAACTGTCTGTATCCTTATGACCTATGGCTTGTCTTCTGCTATGTATAGCCTCATGGTCCTTCCATTGAAGAGTTAGCGCTGTTGGTGCCTCTCCCCTATCTATGATCATTAAAGACCATCGGCACCTAAAGGCAGACAAGGTTCTCTACCTGAACAAATTTTACCAGGGAAAATCCAAAGAGTAAGAGCATAAAGTCACTTTTCTCCAGTTTCTCCACAGGGGGCTGAGATAAGGAACTGGGAAACCCTTTACCAGGAGAGCAGAGACAGGCTGCTAAAGCAAAGAGCTCAGGTGACTCAAGGGAGGAATGCAGAGGGATGCTCAGAGACAAAGAAAGATTGGGGTCAGAGAAAGGAACATTGGGGGTTTGGTAGCAAAGAAGTCATAAACTGGGGGGAGCATATCTGGGACACTTTAGAGCACAGGTAGGCAACCTTTTTTTGGCCGGAGTGCTGAAAAAACCACAATGTCTACCTTGGAAGGTGCCAGAGTGCCGACATGCCAGAGCCCGGAGCAGTATTTGCAGCCTCCTTGCTGCAGCCAGCCCGAGGAGCCCAGTCTGCTTGCAGCAGGGCTCGCAGCCTGCTGGGAGCAGCCTGGGCTCCGTGGCTGGCAGCAGCTGCTTAGAGCCTGGGCTGGCGGTGGTGTACCGAGCAAAATGACCTTGCATGCCATTCTCGGCACGCGTGCTGGGGGTTGCTGAGTACTGCTTTAGAGTATATCTTCTGCAGCACTTCCAGGAACACTGCTCTCAAGCACTCCGCACACATGCACGTGGCAATCCTGGAAATGAGGCAGTGAAGCCTCCCTCCACATTCACCTCGAGGCTTGAGAGCGGTGCTGCTGCCTATGCTGCAGAGAACAATCTAGAGCAATGAGAAAACAAAGACAAACAGATGCTTTATTGTTTTCTTTTCTCTAGGTCCTTATATATTTCCTGTGCTAGTAAAAGTCAAAGTG